CCCCCCCCCGACTCGCTATATAGTATCCAGAAAGCCTCTGCTTAGTACAATCTCTCAGATAAGGGCTCAAACCATAATTCAACTCTTTGTTTTAAGGTGTTGTAAACAGACATGCAGACAGGCAGGCGGGTCTTTAGCGAGCTTATGGGTAGACGCAAAGTGGCAAGCTCGCGAGGACAATCAGATCGTGCGGAACTTCAGGAAAGCAGTTGGTGCAGCGACTCGGCATTTCAAGGACAATAAGATCGATTAGAAGCTATCAATTCTGATGATCCGCGAGGTCAATAGACTATCGTCATCTCTTTCGCATGTGTGGGCGTTCAACGAACGCATGCTCTAGCGTCGCGAAAGAATTCGGAAGTAGCGTGGTGGTGGGATGGCGAGTGCAGTTTGAAAATCAACAGAACAACACAATTCAATGGAAAATCTGAAATTTGCAACAGGCTTAGCAACACTGCATCAGTCTGCTGTTTCTTAGATGTTTCTGGTTGTCGTTTGTCGCTGTAATTTCCTGTTTGAAGAAAAAGAATTTTTGCTATGTAAAGGAGGATTAGCATATCAGAGTCGGGATTTTCATTTAAATTAATGCAGAAGAATGTGGTCTAGAGGGAAAGGGATTATGTCTATTATATAGAGATGTAAACAATAACATACTAACAAGCTCAATTAGAAGTTAAAATTTAAGCTCGTGGATAGGCTTAAATCCAAGCTCAATCCCAGCTTGTAGGCGAGCTCGGTGGGCTCGTTGCCGATAGGCTCGGTAGGCTCGATTGTAAGCTGAAATCTAAGCTTAATTGTTAGCTGAAATCCTGAAATCCTGAAATCACGAGCTCAAATTCGAGCTCAATCAAGAGCTTGTGGGTAGGCCCAGATTAGAGCTCGATCGTGGGTAGGTTTATAGATAGGCTCAATCGTGGGTGTATATAAATAAGTTGGTGATAAAAACTGGATTCTAGACCTAATGTATATAGGTGGGGTGAACGTTGTTGCGATTATTCTAAATATCAGAAATAAGAGCAAGGCAAGGTTTTATGTATAAGAAATACCGACACTGTGTGCACTACCCTGACGCGGTACCCCAATGAGTTGATAGACCTAGCCACTCCAGTATAACTCTGACATATAAGAGACAAAGCCAAGATCGTTGCGAAAAGTTGTTAGACGAGCACGAATTTGCTTGGCATTATCGGGTGTGATCGGAGTCGTGGTAATTTGCTGCAAGTAATGATGGTCTGGAAGTGGCAAGGAATTGTAAGAATATACACGTTATCTACATATGACAATTCCCATGACACCTATGCGGACGTATGTATCAAGCGAAGAGCTTAAAAGCTATGTGCCATTAAAATACAGAGAACATCCTGGCACAAGGAAATTATGTATACTACCAAGGGGCGAAAGAGAAATCGTACTGTCCTATAGAGGTCGCATAATAGTAACTACGCTGGTAAATAGGTTGGGGTTAGGTAGGGGTTAGGTCTTACATAAGTATAACCTAACCCCTACCTAACCCTAACCTAACGCACAGTCTACTCTAACCTAACCCTAACCTAATATTTTAACGCTAGTATTAGGTTAGGGTTAGGTTAGGGTTACATAGACCCTAGGTAGGGGTTAGGTTATATTATATCTGCCTTAAAATATTTCTAGTAATTAGAATTTTATATTATATAGGTAAGCATTTTAGTAAGTATTAGATTAGGGATAGTAGTTATTATAGTTATTTATTACAGCTTATAGAAGGTTTTATTTAAACTATAAATCTAAGTATTTTTATATAAAGAAAGCTAATTGTATAAACCTATTTATTTACCTAGAATTTTATTATACTAAACCTGCTATAGTAATATCTTACTAGTACTAAGTTCTTCTGCTAAATAGTAACTTATTTAGTATAAATAGTATTAATATTATAGTCTTTTATAGTAAGTATAGTGCTAGTAGTAGTAGAAAGAAATTAACTATACCTTTAAAATAACTAATAAGGAATAACTTAGTTGCTTTTTAAAGGGCTTTAAGCGCAGTTTTCTAATAGCGTATACTTATACTTTTTAGTAAGGCTTTAGTAATTTTATAAATAAGGTAAGAAAATAGTAACTTATAAATAAGGAGCTTAGTAGACTTTTAATACTTCTTAATATCTCTTAGGGCTATAGCTAAGTATTATTAGTATCTATCTATAATTAAAGAATATAATAATATACTATTTTACTTAAATTAGTGCTTCTTCTTTACTAGTATCTGCTTTCTATTAGTTATTTTTCTTATAGTAGTTTTTTGCGTAGCTTTAGTAGCTAAATCTTTTTTTAGCTGCTTAGTAGTAGTAGTATTTAGCTTAGGTTTTCTTATTCTAGCTATTATAGTAGAGTAAACTTTAGATAATGTAATTAAAGTATATAATAATTAAGTATTATTAGAAGTATAATAATAGTAGAATAAGCTTATTAAAGTTTTAAGAATAATAAGTAGTAAAGGTAAGTAAAAATTTACTATTTACGCTAAGTAAGTAATGTGTATATATAGGCTACCTATACTCTCTTACTTTAAGTTTTTTATCTAAAACTTACTACCTACTTTAACTTAATAACTATACTTATACTACGTTATTACAGACGTTAATTATATAATACGTAATAGATACTATTAAGAAAAAGCTTAATAATATCCTAGAGAGCCTACTGCTAGCTCTAGAAAATAACTCTTTAATAGGTTTTAAGTATTAGGAGTAGTTTAATCTAACTAAAGTATTAAATATATTTATTTATTACAGTAAATACTTACTTATATAGAGGTTTAATTATAAGGAGTATAAAGTTTAAAATATTCTTACGTAATATAGTTAAGCTAGTACTTAAAAAGGTTACTTAATAAATTTTAGAAAACTATTTATAGGTAATCTTAGTAATAGTAATTACGCTATTACTTAGAGAGACTAAACTACTTTACTTAGTAAAGAAAAGAAAGCGCTTTTTACTACTAAAGCTATAAATTATACTGTAAAGTATTAGCTTAACTAGTAACTTAAAAAGATAGATTAATATATAGCTATAAGTAAAAATAAGTAGGTAAAGTATTTTAAGAGAAAACTTAAGAAGCTAGCGTAAGATTACTTTAATAATTAGAAGAGTAGTAAGTTAATATAGTTATTTATTATATAATCTTACTAATAAACTCTAGCTAAGTAGTTAGAGGCTAAGCTTAATAGAGTTTATAAGAAATAGAAAGATCTACACTAGGAAGTTAATATACGCTAATATTAATAAGTTCTATAAAAGGTTACTTAAGTAGGCTAGAGTAGTATAAGTACTAAACCTTAATCTTATACCTAACTATACCTATTTAGTACTAGTAGTGCCTTTAAATAGATTTTATATAATACTTATAAAAAAGGATTAGTAAAGTTAAATAGCTAATCTTTTAAAAGTAAGAGTATAAAAGAAGAGTAGTAAGCCTTTATTACTAGGCTTATAGTAGAAGAATTAGTAATAGTAACTAGTAAAAATTAGTTATAAGTTTAATATATACCTTTATTATATTTACGTACTAATAGTAATAGGTAACTTAAACCTACGCCTGTTTATAAACTCCTAGGCGTAAATATCTCTACTTTATATAGTAATCTTCTATATGTTTAAGGGAATAATAGTAATAAGTATAAGAAGAAGGTTAATATTAATTTAGAAATTAATAAATACTATAACTAGGGTAAAAATAAGTATAAAGGCGTTAATAAGTGTAATAATAAGACTAATTTTAAAGGCTTTACAGATTTTAAAGGCTTTTTAGATAATAACGCTAAGGTTAAAAGCTTAGGTTAGATAGCAGTAATATTAGCTAATAGTTATATATAATAATATAACTTAAAACCTACAATGTTCTTTAAATAGTAACTTAGATAAAATAACCTAATAGTAAAGTAGATATAAAGCACTAGCTATAAGGTATTTAACTTAGTATTTTACTAACCTTTAATAATTAGTTTAACTTCCTTAGCATATGTTATTATTAGAGTAAAGACTTAGAGTTTTATAGTTAAAGTAAGGATTATATATAATAGTAAAATTACTATAAGTTTATCTTAGTTTTTATTATAGCTTTCTATTACAGTTCTCTTTTACTATGTTAATTAATACTACTAGATATATAATTAACCTATTGCCTAAGCCTGTTTAAGAAGTTTAATAATTCTATAAGCTGCTACCTAGCCTTTATATATTAAGGTTAACTGCTCCCTAGATTATTAAAGGTAGAGAAAAATTAAACCTAGAACTTATTAAATACCTGCCTATAGTAATAGAGCAGAATAATAATAATAAAAATATACTTTTAACCTAAAATAAGTAGTAGAGTAGAACTAAATAGGCTGTTAACTCTATAACTAGTTATCTATATTAGAACTCTACTACACGCTATAGTTAAGTATAGCTATATTTTAGTAAGGCTGTAGACTTTATAAATAGTTATCTATATATATACTACCTTAACTGTAACCTTGCACTTTAACACCTATTAGCTAAAAAGACTATTAGAATAAAACACCTACTTAACTATCTAAACTTAAGGAGCTATAAGTCTACTGTTATTTCTATACAC